AATTAGGTCTATAAGCCTAATATGAGATATACCTTCTGTTTGAATTGTCATTTGTTTATTAATTAATGTTTGAATTATGTTGATTTTGGTTTGATTGTTACAGTGAACATTTTAAAAAAGTGTAATCTTCTCTATTAATTTCTTGCACTAGGTTGTTTGGGAAATAAATCTCTTTTTTTGTTAAAGCTATTGATTTCTTTGGGGACTGTAGCACATGCACAGTTTTCTAAAGAAACGGTTCCTGTTTCAAGATGATTTTTGAATCAGTGAATCTTCAATGATCTCACTTGATTCCTTTAAAATCCTTGGATGGAAATCATCTGGTCCTTGAGCTTAAACAGTTTTTAGTGTTTTATTAACTTTATCATTATTATTTTATTTAATCTTTCTACGGATGGCCACCTTGTTGCAGTGGAGAGGCTTGAGAGTTCTATTGATCCCGAGAGTGATGTCAGGAGTTCTCACCTGCTGGCAGGGCTACACATGACGGTAAAGTTGAAGGGGAGGAACCAGAGAAAGTGCAATCCAAAACAAGTCCTCAATGGTGATCCAGGTGGAAAATATTTGTGTGATATCAATGACTGTGATGGCAGATGAAGGCTGCAGCAGTAGGGAGATCCTCAATCGCCAAAGTTTCCTTTCCACTGGAACTTATTTTCTGAAGAAGGGTCTAGCCCCGAAACGTCAGCCTTCCTGCTCCTCTGATGCTGCTTGGCCTGCTGTGTTCATCCAGCTCTACACCTTGTTATCTGAGATATACCCTACTGGCGCAATGCAACATCTTGGACAGTCCCAGACTTGTTAGCAGACTTTCACCATACATTGTCAGATTGAGTCAAATATTCCAAGGGCCTTCATTAACTACTCCACTCCATCTGAGTTTTCCAGATACCTTTTTCATTTAGGTCATCTTGGCCCAGAGACTCCTTTAGTTAACTCCTTGAATAAACCCCAGTGAACAGTATAGTCAGTTCTGGTAAAATTGTCTTTTCTTCTCCCTGAGAGTTAGTAAGAACTACCGATGCTGGAGTCAGAGATAACGCAGTGTGGATTTGGAGGAACACAGCAGGCCAGGCAGCATCAGAGGAGCAGGAAAGCTGACGTTTCGGGTCTCTGAAGAAGGGTGCTGACCCGAAACGCCAGCTTTCCTGCTTCTCTAATGCTGCCTGGCCTGCTGTGTTCCTCTAGCTCCACACTGTGTTATCTTTTCTTCTCCTTGTCTGTTTTTCTACAGAACATATTTAAGACTTATTTTGTGGGAGAGCTTTGCAACTTCTGGCCCAAGCATTTCTGCAGGAAAGTTCTCTGCCCAAAACTTTTTTGTTAATAAGCTTCCACTCCATAGCAATCCGAGTTACATGAGCGATTCTCATAATTCTAATGATAAAGTTGCCAGGAACCACTTTATCATCTTCTCCCATAAGCTGACTAGTTTCACTTTGGATCTAAAGGAGCATTTCAAAACGTGAGTGCCTTTGGATCATGAAATATGTCACTCTATTATTGAAGAAAGATGAAAGATGGAACCCAGGCAATTACAGACCAGACAGCCTACTGTCTGGGCCAGACTTTCCTGCAGGCTCCTAAACCCTACCGACAGGCTGGAATGTGAATCCGGAATGCAAACGGAGTGGGAAGCACTTGCTTGTTGGGAATTTTCCTTGAGGCAGTCCAATATTGGCCTGAGTTTGGGCTCGCTATCCAATTAAGAATGGACAGCCAATCAGACTCTTCCCATTTTGAAAACAATGGGAAGCCATGACAGCAAGGAAGTAGGGAAAAGGCTTTGGAATTCTCTTCCCAGGAGAGCAGTGACAGCTGGGTCACTGAATATATTCAAGGCTGAGTTAGACAGATTATTGAGCTACAACAGAGTCAACTGTTGTGAGGGGACAGGCCAGAAAGTGGAGTTAAAGTCGCCATCAGATCAGCCGTGATCTTAATGAGTGGTGGAGCAGGGTTGATGGCCAAATGGCCTCTTCTAGCTTTTAGTTCTTAAAATCTTATGACAGGGCACTTCAAAATGGAAGCACTCATCTCCAAGTTAAAGATGGGTCTTACAACCAGGCCACACCGTTGTGAAGCTGCCTGGACCCTGGTTTACCCCTAGGAGGCACCCCTGAGTCACCTAAACTGGCCCTCGACAGCTGTGGTTATCTGGAGGTGGCCTGGTGAATCTTTTAATTGATCTTCTGCCACCCTCACCACCAACAAAATAACCAGGAGCAGATAGAGCCAGGGGACTGGCATATGGGATGGTAGGGCTGTTGTTAGCACCCAATCCTGGGGACCAGGGCCACCTAAACATCAAGCCCTTGTTGTTGAGGAAATTGCTGGAGTCTCTAATTATAGATTGGTTGAACATTCCCATCACCCAATCAGTGAGAACCAGCATGGGTTAGTAAAAGGCAGTCCTGCCTGAAAAGCCTGATTGAAGTTTTCATTGAGTTAGTTACAGGGTCTTTCAGAAGGTGTGTGATAAAGTGCCTCATGAGACTGTTAGCTGAACTAGAAGATCATGGATTTGAAGGTAAATTATTAACTTGATCAGGAAATTGGCCAAAAGGCAGGAGACAGAAAGTAGGTATAATAGGCCAGTAACTCTCATTGTCAGAATGGGACTAAAAGCCAAGATTCGAGTTTATGGATGATACAAAGATTAAGGACATTTTAAGCATAACATGACAAAGCGGTCATCTACTTTGGACCTAAAGAGAATTGAACAGGGGACATCTGAAATGGTGACAAACCAGGAGCTGTGGAGCTTCGAAGAGACTTGCGTGTCCAGGTCCACAGGTCATTAAGTCTCAAAAGCAGGTAATAAAATAATCAAATGCAAATTGAATATCGGTCTTTAAGATTTTTGCAAAGATTTGTAGCTCGGGTTGTGGATGTGGTTGTTGACTTGCTTGCCGAGCTGGCTTGTCCTCGTTCAGACGTTTCGTCACCATGCTAGGTGACATCATCATTGAGGCCTCCGATGAAACGATGTTGTTCTACTCCGCGTGGAATTTATACTGTC